AGAAGTTATTGGATTGGATGATTATTAATTAGGTATAAAGTAAGAAAGCAAATAACAATAATGAGAAAAACGTTTGGGAAAGCAAGGCTATGTGAAATTCAATAGAAACGGCAGCTCTACTCATATTATTATGGGAAAATTCTTCTTCCAGTCCTTCATCACCTTAAACGCAATTGGGTGAGTTACTGGTAGTCTCGAAACACTACTTAATGGGGAAAATAAAGAAACGTAGTCGATTGTTATAGCAAATATACGTTTGCTTCATCAAAAATCCCACCAAAGAATATGATATGGCAAAAGTACTGGCCTTCCTTGAAAATTCACATTTGCCCTATGACCCAAAGGCACTCGTGGCAGTGTAGCCGAGGGATTAGCGTCTCAGGCTCCCATCCTGCACTGTCGCTCTCCGACTCCCGCTGGGGATTTTGATAAGACCAATGTGAGGTCGAAACTGGAGTCCACCCTGGATGCGAAAAACTTTTGGGAAAGCAAGGCTGTGAAATTCAATGGAAACGTCAGCTCTACTCGTATCATTACGGGAAAATTCTTCTACCAGTCCTTCATCACCTTAAACGAAATTGGATGACGACATCTCATATTAATGATTTACCGGTAGTCTTGAAGCAATACTTCAATGCGAAAAATTAATTATTTTTCTTTTATAAGTAGGGTTTCGGGACTACTAATAGATAAGCTATATGAGATGTATCCACCCTATTACGCTTAAGGTGATAAATAGTTGAATTTTCCCACAATAATCTGAGTAGACCTTAAGCTTTCATTCACATCTACCCTACGAACCAAGGACATTTGTTTCAATGTGGCGTAGTATTTTTATCGAGATTACGCGCTGTACTGTCATAGTTCGAGTCCCGCTGGGGGTGTTGATAAGATCTAGGCGAAGTCGAATCTGCAGTCCACCCTGGATGAGAAAACCTTTTGGAAAGCAAGGCTATGGGAAACGTCAGCTCTACTCATATCATTATGTGAAAATTCAACCTTCAATCATTCATCACCTCAAACGAACTAGTCTGAACACATCTCATTAAACTATTTTCTCGAATCAAACATCGTTTTTGCAAAAACTTCGGACTGTTGATCGTGATGAAAATAAACATTAGCATATAAATGTGAATGCATTATAACATAATCCGCAATGTTTAAAGTTACCTGTCTTGCCATGCAGAACGATCCCCATCAACTTGTGAGAGAAAAGGAGCCAAATCTAGTTCTGCTGGGAAGTTGATGGAAATGTTGATTTTAGTGTCATGGTGGCAGCGTTGCTGAAAGAGCAAAAGATATTAGTGGATGATGGAAGAAATTAATGTAATAAAGTAGAGTATGGTGATAATAAATAGTTTGTAAAAGATTGAAGTGATGAAGGTCGTAGATATTAAGTATTTCCATTTCAACTAACAAAGGCTTAATTCGGATGATAATTTCTGAAATAGATCCTGATGTTTTGCTATTTTATTCACAGTAATGTTAATACTTAGCATTCGCGGATTCAGTTCAATTCTTTTAAGATGATTTATTACCTACCTTCCTCTCATTTCATTTTCCTCAGACCGTGACTTTCCGACTAAGTTGCGAAAACAAGAGTGAGCCAACACTATAAAGGTAAAGTAGACCGCGACCAAACAGATGACCACAACATCTTGGTCTCAATATCTATTAACTAATTCGTAATATTAAGTTATGTTGACTAAAGGAAGGTCAATATTGTATAGGCCACTCAGAAGAGGATAAATGTTTTGATATATCTACAAAAATTATCCATTAATAGAGTAACAAATGAGGCAAAGGTTAATACTACCTTTAAATAAAAGCAGAGCACGTTCGGCAGATGGAGTAAACTGAATTGCTTTACAGCTGGTCGACCAATCTTGCAGTGTGAGCAGAGAATCAAGCCGTCAATCAACTCAGGCTGAAAGTATGCCGCAAGACACGCAGATAAGCTGGTCTTACCCGAAGTGTTCAGGACAGTCCCTCCACTCATAACTAGGCCGCTTGAGGTGGTAACGACATTCTGAGGGCTGGAGAAGACAAGTGACTGACTTAAGTTTTCGGAGCAAGACATAGTTGTAGAGCCAACTGATTCGGTGTATAGTCGAGATAAATTCTGATTCAAATTATGTGGTTCTGGCCCACTTCTTGGGGAAGCAACTGAATGAGAAAGGGCTAAAGATAGAGAAGTTGAAGTAGATGAAGGTGATGCGACTGATGCAACCTGAGTATGGCTGGTGAGCCGTACAATGGGCTGGAGGGTACAGTTGTTTGACAGACTTCCGGAAGTGGAGTTCAGCTTAGCAATATTTGGCACTAGGTCAAGAGAAAGATCAAGAAATGGGTCCACAGTAGAGGATTTATGATCGCAGCCCTCGTAAGAGATGACAGATTCAAGATCACCAAAAAAAATCTAAAATGAATGATAATGAAAAAGTAGAACATAAGAATATAAAAATATTGCATTGGCGAGGAGATTTTAACTCGTAAACACGTACTATGGACTAGGAAAGAGGTCCGTTCCAAAAGGACTGTTAGATAAAATGACCAAGTCGCAAAAACAAGGTCAAAAACTAAAATAAAATCGTTTTATTCACAATGAGTATAAGTCCTATTTCAAACTAATATTTAGCCTTGAAAATCAACTTTATCTGAAAATAAGTTAAAAAATCAATAAACTGCTAAAAAATGTATAAGTATGTCCTGAATTAAGAATTTGCAAACCAGACGACAGAGGAGAATAAAATCAGTATAG